TATTAAGTTGCTTCTCTGTACAAGGCAGGATGCAGAAATAGCTTTCCAACTCTTTGGGCACCCTCCTATCCCCATAGTAAATGTGCTTTTTTTTAACTTTGTTCAGTTTATGCTGGATGTGAATTAAAGTAAGACTCACAATAATTTGTGCCTTTAGTCAGATCTATTAAGACTGGTTTAAAACCAGGTCATTAATGCTAGAAGAATTGTACAAAGTGAGGTGTACATCCAGAACATGAACAGGTAATATAGAGATAAGAGCCATCAAAGAAACTGAGAAGAATGATGTGAGGGAGAGGCTTGTTCACCAGGCGAGCAATCCATTTTTCCCCCTTCTCCAAACAGCAATAAACTACTTCGCTTAAGAAGATAAAATCTCCTTGGTGTGTCATAGCTGACCCATTTAAGACTTAATTCTGACCTGTTTAATAATTTTTTCACCCTTAGCAGACTTAGTTTATTTTCAAATAAACATTCTCTAAACTTACAAAAAGACTTTGTGCTCTCATTAAGCAAGCCAATTTATTTTGCTTGCTTCAGTCCTAAACTGTCATTTGAAAATAATACGCATGTGTCTTGTATAATCTGCTGAAAGTAACAAATTATTACTGCTGTATAATGGTTTCATGCTGTCGCTTTTTAAGAGGAGAAATCCTTTAATTTCTGGAATTAACATGCAGTTACATTTGACCCATTGTGTGTGCTTTGAAGTAGCAGCAATGTCCTTGTTCTTCACAGAACTATGTCAGAGTTGTAGAAGTGTGGTGGGATGAATACAAAGATTATTTTTATGCCAGTCGTCCAGAGACTAAAGCACTACCCTACGGAGATATATCTGAGCTGAAAAAATTCCGTGAAGATCACAACTGCAAAAGTTTTAAGTGGTTTATGGAAGAAATAGCATATGATATAACTTCATATTATCCACTACCACCTAAAAACGTGGACTGGGGAGAGGTAAGTACAGCACATAAACTGTATTTATTTTAGGAGGTGTTTTTTTTTTAAATTGGGAATGCCAAAGGAAGTGATTGTTACTTGACATCAATCTGAGAACAGGCTTTTTGTTTACTGCTATACTGAGGTATATGATACTAGACAGAGTTATAGAGAAATAACCCTAGGAAAAAAAAATATATATAATTTAAGAGGTGTGATTTTTTTATTTAACTCCATAGTTCCTTGAAGAATCATTTTACCTCTAGCCCTGTCTTCAGTTATGTCTAAAGCTCTTTTTTACATAATTGGAATTTAAGGGTTTTTTTAAAAGAAAAAATGTGAATCCTTTGTGTATAGGAGTATTGGCAAAGATTAATAGGTGAAAATCTTTTTCTGTGAAGACCTGGAGAATAGATCATGAAATCCAGGTGAAGCACGTTCTGCCTGCGTTTGCTAGCCTGGGATGTACTCATACGGTTACAGCCTCAGTAGATCCCAATCTGTATGTAATAATTGAATATGATTCCTTAACAGTCATTTCCAGCATTAGAGTATTTGAGTATCACTTTGCTAAATTAAGAACATGGTTACAAATTCAGCATTTTCACATGGTTGACAGAAAGAGACACCTTGTCACCAGGCCAGTGCAGGGCACCTCACTGGATCCTGCCTGTTTTGTTCTGGCATTTAGGCCACATCTTGAGGATCTCTTACTGTAGGTCTCCTGGCTGCTTTCAATTTTTTTTTTTCTTTTCTCCCTTTTCAGTCGGTTCCAGCCTTGCCCTGTGTCTTATATTAATTTCGCTTTTGCAGATTGTGGAGGCAAAATCAGAAAATCATCTTGCTAGCAGTGGAGGACTCCTGTGTCCCACCAAATTTAACAGCCTTCTTTCCCGAGATATGATGGACCCATTTTTCTGACTTCACAAGAGCATTAGAAAGTACAGATCTAAGCTGTTTCCTATGGCCAAGAAAGTGTCATCTCTAATTTCTCTGAGGAATTAGTGATACAGAGCATGTACGTGGTGGAAGGAGGTACAAATAGTTTTGTATCTGAGGGACCAGGTGAACAATGCCAGCTTTATTCCTTACCTAAAAGCTAGCACAAAGCATCAGTTACTACATTATCCTTAGACCTCCTTTTGAATCTACATAAAGGGTTAGGAAGGCACATTATATATCACTACGCACTGAGGTGAAGGTATCTGAAGAGAATAAAATAATAACGGACACCTTGCGGGAAATCATCCCTGATAAAAGCCAGTGGCTCTGGTGAAGCAACAGGAGAGTCTGAAGTTCAGAGACTTCTCTGAAGTTTTCTTCAACTCTTCTTCACTGACTGCTAGTTGTCCTACATCTGAGAAATTTTTCGCGCCCTCTACTTGTAACACCACGCTAATTGCATTTCCAAACTGTCAGGAATGGAGGTGTGGGATTCATCTTCCCTAGCACTCTCTCTGCAAGTCAGGTCTAAGCTTAGTCCTCCAGACTTTCTTCTACTGTCATGAAGAAGAAAGAGGCTCTGGCAAAGAAAATCTGTCTGGAAATAATGGTATTGTGTCATAAAGTCCTTGTAAAGCTATTTGCTGGTGCTTTGGAGAAGGGAATGGGATAATCAGCAGTTGAGGCACACTTTCTGACAGGTCTTTTTTTCTTTATCCCTATGCCTATGCCTGCCCCTCATCAATTTTATCTCTTTTTTTTCCTGTGTAAATGCTGCTGCAGAAGGTACATCTGAGCAGCCAGGTCAGCGGGCTGTGCCTGGCTGCAGTTCACAATGGCTGTGCATAACTTCTCTGCATCCCATTTCTCTCATTCACAAGATGAGAGCAACTTAGCTGAGCTCCTGCTTTTTTTACGAAGACCTGGGAGACTGAACATGCTTTGATAGGAGATTGAATAAATTAAAATACTTGAAAGTCCTACATTTCGGTGTCATTAATTTGGAACTGAGCTTTGCAACTCTGGCTTTATCAGTGTGCTCTTAACTCAGGTAAGAGCCCTCAAATTAGTATAGGCAGATGGAACCTCCATCTCCCAGAACGGTTAACATAAGTATTTAAATTTCATAAGCAGCTTTGTCTCATATCTCTCTGGCAGATGCCTGTTTCTGGTTTAAAAGATAAGTGGGAATTTTCTGAACTCGTTCACACTTAATTCTTTCCTTGAGGCTATCTTAAAGTGCGAAACCTCTTTTCCAGATTAGAGGCTTTGAAACTGCTTACTGCATCGATAGCATGGGGCACACCAATGGCGGCTTCGTTGAGCTTGGGCCGTGCCACAGAATGGGAGGAAACCAGGTAAGGAGCTTGAAGGCAATTCTGAAGGAGAATTGCTTGCTGTGGATGGTAAAAGGCTGGTTTTGTGTTACACCTGTACATAAAATCACTTAGGTGCCAGCTACAAAGTAGGGAGTTAGGGATTCTCCGTAAGCTTACCGACATTGCTAAAATACAGGAATCTGAAAATAGCATTTCTGACACAAACGGTAGAATATTGAAGACAAATTCACAATCTTTTCTTCAGTGACGCGGGTACATGAGGTGGCAAGAACTGTTTTAAAGGAACCATGTCACTGCATTAGATCAACTGCAGCTCTTAGCATTGCTGATTCATCATTTATCTTCATTTAATAATTAATCCTTCAGGAAACAAACCCTTACTCGCTTTGGCTCAATTATTTCACAAAGTTGTTTTGCTCTAATGAAAGTATAAAATGCTTTTGTTCAGTAACTCATCTTCCACCACAGGAGACAAGAAATTGTATACAAATTTGTCTCTGCTTCGTTGACAAATTAATTGGCAGAACATGATTACTAATAGATGGTTGCAATCCAAGCTGCTATCGTGTTGGACCTGTATCTTCATAAACGTACCCACGCTACCAAACAAACATCCTGTTCTGCCTTTACATCTCCTTTTTCAGTTGGAAAAATTTTCAGCATTTAAAACCCTTATTTATGCTGATGTAGACTTGAATCAGGCAAGTTTTGTCACAGCAGTCATGAAATCGTGTGCAGGATGATGCTTTTAAAAATCGTATTTGGGTTAGCTCTCAGTAGCCCCTGGAAATCTCCTTTATTTTGACATGTAATGAAAAAGTTTCTAAACTACTTTTTCTGTATATCATAACTCCAAAACTCTGTAGCTTCTTAAGAAGTAGCTAGAATAATCTTTTTGTATCTGGATACATGAGTTTGATATCCTCCATGGGTAAACTGCCAAAGTTTTACTGTCTTCACATGAAATGACTCTCCAGGACCAAGAACTTGCTACCAGACCTTTACAAAGATGGTGGATTGTTTGGCCATCAAATTTTATGAAGACTTTTAATCAAACACTTTCAGAAGTCTCCCAAATAGAGATGCTTTATTTTTGTTATTTTTGTCTTGCTAGGTAAGTTTCTTGGCCTTCGAAATCCTATGGGAAAGTTTTCCATGAAATTGAGTGTTGTGATAGTAAAAGTGTGTTACATCATGTAAAATAAAGAACCCTCCTGAAAGACAGGTGTAATAACACCAGAGAATGTTTTGAATGGTGTGATTTGGTTGGTATTTTCAGTGTTTCTAAAATACTCGTCATTTTGAGTCAGCTGTTAAAAAGGTGGCTTTTTTTTTTCCGTTAGCTTTTCCGAATCAATGAAGCTAATCAACTCATGCAGTACGATCAGTGCTTAACTAAAGGACCAGATGGATCCAAAATTATGATTACACACTGTAATCAGAATGAGTACAAGGACTGGCAATACTTCAAGGTAAGCAACAGATATATAACAGAAAAGAAATTATAATTTACATCCTGGTTTTTTGCACCTTTTTTTGATTCTTTTGTGTATATCTGAAAATAAAGATCTATGACAAGGTTAACTGAACTTAACTTAGAGTGAGTTGTTAATTGCATATTCTTGGAAATCCATGCTTGCTGAGAAAACTTCCTCTAGGGAA